GGGCCCAACCCCAGGTTCCTTTTTAAAGGGGCTTGATTTTTTTCCAGAGGCAAAGTATGTGGGTAGGAGTACCATATGTATAGGTTTTCCTGGACATTTCCTCTTTGTTTGATACTCAGTCTGGGTGGATTTTTCATATGAGGAGAGGTCTAGGATTTTTGCAAGCAAACATTGCAAAATGTTCACAAACAGCCCCAATTTGGTTCCTCCCCTGCATCTGCAGCTGCTGGATCCCCCCACCCAGGTCCTGGCTCCTGGCACTGGGGAGAAGGAGAGGCAGGAAGGCTCTGACAGACAGCTATCACTGCACCCTGGCCTGCATCAGCTGCTCTGTCACTGACTGGAGTGACACTCTCCCCACCTCGACAGGGAGGCTGCAGATATCTTGACCATCACTATGTCCTCTTTTTGGGAATGTGAAATATGCTAACCCTATGCTCGGGACTTTCTGAAAAATCGGGTCCCTATTTAAAGCGACTCAAATTGGGCTCCCACCCACGACTCTGAAAATGTAGACTGTGCAGTTGAATTTAGATTTCAGATGAACTCCACCACAGTGCCAAAGCTTGCAGAAACAACATGCAGAAGTCCAGATTAATTCTGAAATTATCTGTTATTCTGATTTACTGCAAGGCTTGTGAGAGTGGATGTGTTTTGTAAGCTCCCAGATCCTGGAGTCATGGGGTATGAGATCCTTGATTTCTCTCCCCTCTGCTCCCCCTTAAAAGAAAAAGAAAAAAACCCCCAAAATTCTAGTCTACATGGTTGCAGAGCAAAGCTTGAAACATAACATGGTAGGAGGGGGCACCAGCCATGTGCCCCCTCAGCCTGGGGAAAGGCTGGGACAACTCCCCTCCATCTCAGGTCCTGCCTCTCACCACCCTTGCTCCACCTTTTTCCACTCCCCTGAGCTATGCGGCCTCGGGGACTAGCAGAGCTGGCAGCAGGGGCTGTCCTCTTCCCTCCTCCCCATACTCACCAGCAGCAGTGAGGCAAGTGGAGCAAGGTGGCCCTAGCTTGCTCTGCTTCCCCAGCCCCAATGCTCTGCTTTCCGGCAGTGAGTGTGGAGCCGTCCCGTCTGTCCCGTAAGAGATGTGACCAAAGGAGCACTGCAAGCTGGGGCCGCTGCTCCACTTGGCCTGCTGCTGGTGGTGAGTGTGGCAGGGGGCAGAGCCCAGCTGTAGGTACTAGACCCACCTCCCACTAGTTTCCCCGTTGGCTACTGGCTGGTCCCTTTCCCCTCCCACCCAAAGTGCTTGGGAAATTCATGCCACGTGCAGGCAGATGCTGGAGCTAAAGCTGGCTGCTGTGCGGTGGCTCAGGGGGCCAGGGCTGGGGTACATAAATATTAGCAGATGGGAGAACCTGAAAAGGCAAATAGCTAAGATGGGAAGGAACAAGAGCGAGCAAGTGCACTAACCAGGCCCTGAGCTACCACAGCCAGGATTTAGGTAAAGATGAATTAATCAAGGAGAGAATGACAAGGTTGTCATTGTTATAAATGGAACTCACTGCTTGTCTTGGAATATTAGAATCACAGTATTAAACTGTCCTGCCTCTGTATTGACAAGTCGTGCCATACTTGATGTTTCCTTAGCGCTCCTGCTCCTGGAATCAGGTGATTCTATGTGAATATCAACTTTCTATTTTTGAACTAACCATCTGGACCCCACAATGGCAGAGATATGTAGAGCCCTGTGGTGAGACAAAATTGGGATCCACAGCTGCAAAAATGATCCACAGATGCCCATGGACAGGGCTTGACAAATCATGTAATATACTCGCCTGTGGCGAGTAGATTACAAGCCGGCACAGCCAGCGTCACACGATCTGCGCATGCGCAGCGCGATCTACACATGCGCGGCTTGCAGAACTGTGCGGCTGGCGAGTGGGGCTCGCCGCCACTTGGCGAACCCTGCCCATGGACATAAGGCAAGTATCTGGAAATTATGCCTGGTTCTAGATCCAAAATGATATCTGTAGCTGCACCCGTATCTGCAAAAATGAGTCATGGATATCCGCATCTGTGGATATCAAGTGCATATCTGTGGATTTGCAGGGCTCTAGAGATATGCTTGTAAACCAGCCTTCCCATAGGGTGTGCAGGTGGGGAGGTTGATAGATATAGATAAGCAAGATACTGTATTAATCAGCAACACTTCAGGTTTCAAATATGTGCCTCTCCTTGCCAGCTGAATGTGGCACTGCAACCACTCCCTGCCTCCATTTTTTAAAATTTTATTCTTTTATAACACAAATCTTCAGAAGCATTTTACAGCTTAATGATAATCTTAGTAGATAAAAAGTACTCCAGTATTAATTGACCTGTGGAACCAGGCTTTTTCTGTTGCCCTTGGGATTCACGTGGCTTAGCCCTCTAGCTGGGTCACGCTCAGAGTTCAATTCTCTTCTGGGATCAGAGAAGTCCAAACAAAACAAAACATTCTTTCACACCCGGCTTGGGCCCCCCTCAGCCCACCCTCTGGGCTCAGGCTATCTTTTAATCTTTCTGGGATGCAGGGGCCTCTCCCAAGCTCTTTCCTTGAAATCCTCTTACAGTCTTGGCCCCTTTGGGATATCTTTGAGTCTTCCCTGCTCTGGAAGACCCTGCTTCAGGGCCCCTTTATAGGAGTATAACTTGCTCACTGTAGTTCCTCCCCCAAAATCAGTTCCTCCAGCCCCTCTTATGGGGGCATCTATACAACAAAGTGGCAGAAAGTCTCAGAGCCCGGGGCAACAGCTTCATGTTTGTGTGATGGTGCTAAAAACAGCAGTATAGACATTGTGGCATGACCCATGAAGCACACACTCCTCCCTAAGCTACAAAGTCCATGTTTTTTATTTTTAGCACTGTAACATGAGCTCAAGTCTCTAGTCTCGGGCATTGAGAATCCCTGCCACTTGCTGTGTAGGTATATAGGGTTGCCAGGCCTCCAGGATTGTCCTGGAGTCTCCAGGAATTAAAGATTAATCTTTCATTAAAGACTGTCATGTGATGAAACCTCCAGGAAATCACCCAACCAAAATCAGCAACCTTAGACATATTCTATGAGGTCCAGGTGTTTCAGGCAATTACATGATGCCTATTAATTCAGCCCATTCCCCCATCCGGAGCCTGGATGGCAGTCAAGCTCCAGTGGATGTCTGGTGCAGAAACTAGCTGCACTGCAGTGCCAAAAAGCATTAGCACTGGCCACCTCACTACCCACTCAGGTTTGGCCCCTCTGCCATGAAGGAGGGACAGTATGTTAAAATTTGAGTGATTGGCATTGCAACCTGATGCAGAGTGCAATGGAATTCTGGTTGACTCCCTTTGCCTCCCCCAAATTGGCCCTAGGCACATGCCTAGCTTGTCTATGCTTTAATGTGGCCCATATGCTTGCTTACTCACTCAATACTGCACCCTCATCCTTCCACAAAGCCCCATGCCCTGACCTCATTGCTCTACTGTTCGTGCACCCACATGCATTCTCCTACCCAGCTGCTGGGTCAAACCCACCACACTCATTCCCAAAGAACATTGCCAGCCCCATTCCCATTTACCAATTTTCCTATAACTCACTCACCATAGGAAGAGAATCCCAATCCCTCACCCTCAGCTGGTAGACACTCCCCAACACTACCTCCCTCAAACCCCTGCTTGCCCTCTGGAACCTACCCACACAGCCTACCCCCCTTCTTCTGCCCCTCTGGCCATCTCTGCCTCTACTTCAGTTGGAAGATGTTATAGGCTATGTCTACACTGCATGCTTATTTCAAAACAACAGAGTGTGTGTCTACACAGCAAGCCCATTATTTCAAAACTATTTTGAAATAACAGGCTTCTTAGTCCGAGCTCCGTAACCCTCGTTTCACAAGGAGCAAGGGAAGTTCAAGAGAGTTCCTCCTTCGACTTCCTGATGCGTAGACAGCGCCAAGAGCCAAGTTAAGCTACTTCAACTTCAGTTACACAATTAATGTAGCTGAAATTGCATATCTTGACTTTAGCCTGCAGTGTAGACATACCCATAGAGGCGCAAATTACTGTTCTCAAAACAATACATGGGCTGTTAGAGCCTCATCTGTATCCACCAAGCTCATTGAGTCAACTGGCCCTTAGTGAATATCAATGAAGCTACTTTGCATCAACAAAACCTCCCGACACATTACCCAAATAGCATGCTGCTCCTAGAGACTTAGGTTCTAGTCCCACCTCCACAACTTCTGGGTGACCTCAGACATGTTGCTTTTCACCTCTCTGCCTCTGTTTCCTTATCTAGCCTTTGTCACTCACCTGTTTACATTGCAAGCTGTTTGAAGCAGGGATTCTGTCTTACCATGTGTTTGTCTAGCACCTACCAGAATGGGCTTCAATCTTTATTGAGGCCTCTGGACACTATTGTAATACAAATAATTCCTACCCTCAGAATGCATATGGAGTCCCATGCCCAACATCCAGAAGGAAGATTTTCATGCATCTCCACATTCATCCTGCCTATATGCAAAGATCATATTAATGCAATATTCAGACAGATTTCGATGCCTTTTACTTCCACCCCTCTAGCCTCTTGGGACTGTCTGTTCCTATTCTTTAGCTCATAACAGACATGGATATAATGCATCACAGATTCCCAGGCCTGCCCATGGAGAGGACGGGGCCAAAGGAGCAACTGTTGTCGGGCCCAGCAATACAAAAGAGTATTGGGGTCTTATCTACCACTACCGCAGTAGCTGGAACTCTGGGCCCTTTAAATCACTGCCAGAGGGCTGGGAGGAGGGGTAGGGAGGCTGTGGTCCAGGCAGTGCTGAAAGGTGGCTATCCACAGCCATGCCTCCTTCCACCTGAGGCCCCGCCCCTTCCAGGGGCACAGAGTAGGGGGCTCTGCCTTGCTCAGGGCCCAGCAAGGCTGTTGGCCCCACTGCTGATTCCACAGAAAATTTGCTCACGGTTACACAGGCAAATATCTTAAGTTTACTTTTCCTTGTCAACGGAGCTGATTTGCTAAGGAAACAATCAGATATTAACCATGGAACCTCACAATGCCATTTTGCAACAGTGTAACTAAGGCAGTTATTAATTTGGAGACTATAACCAGTAGAGGTACAACAGACGCGTTCTTTCCAATAGCTGAGTCCCTGTCACCAGAGCCTGCCTGCCAATGCTCATTTCTAGTGGTTGAAACTTGTCTTGGATCTGCTCTATGTGAGCCCTTGTCTGTTTTAGGGGAAAGCTCTTACCAAGAGCAAAGATCAGGCTTATCTTGGATCTGCTCCCTGTAAAAGTCTGAGTTTGACAGTATAATGATCAATAAAACCCCAGAGCAGAATTCAAAGTTGCTGAGAAAGGAGAAGTGATTTGCACCACTGCAGGCAGGTTATCAAGGAGGTGAATACATGAAGTAAGACTCAGTTAAATAGATAATCTTTTAACTCAACCTTTGCACAGTCCAAATTCAGCTGTACCTACAGGCAAAGCCACAGGAGAGACTGCTGAGAATTCCCTAGGGGACAGCACCCTGCAGACACGGGTAAGAACTTCCCTTCTTTCTTTACTAACCCTTGCCCCCAAACCTCCCAGGAGTTACTACCCTGGTTACCTTTTTAGGTTGTTTACCCCTATTCCTCAAAGCTTTTGTGCAGCAAAAGGAGTATTAGCATTAAGCCCCATGCTAGCTTCCCCACTCCCCCCCTGAGGTGCATGAGTTCAATATCTGCCATTTCCGGCACCTGCAGATTTCTTCGGCTTGGTTTTCGCTGGGATTTATCTCTATTTCAGGGACTGGTGAAAACTCCTAGGATATTTCTACACTGCCCCCGTTTTGCGCAAAAAAATATGCAAATGAGGCAAAGCATGGAATATCACAGCACTTCATTTACATAATTAATGAGGCTCTGTTTTTGTGCAAGAGGCTTGTGCGCAAAAAAGAGCCATCTACACAGCTCCTTTTTGCGCAAAAACCCTCTCTTGTCAAGAGCTATTCTTCCTGAAAAAAAATGCGGAAGAACAGCTCTTACAAAGAGGTTTTTGCACAAAAGCCTCTTCCGCAAAAACGAAGCCTAATTTATTATGCAAATGAGATGCAGCGATATTCCACGCTTCGCCTCATTTGCATATTTTTTGTGCAAAACGGGGGCAGTGTAAACATAGCCCTAGAGCAGGGTTTCCCAACCTATGGGTTGGGACCCAAATATGGGTCGCCATTACATTTCAAAAGTGTCTCCACAGGTGGCTCTGCCTCCCCACCTCCCCCCATTTTTGAATTGCCTTGGGTCACCAAGTCTTCCTGCATTGTCAAAATGGGTCCCCATCTGGAAAAGGTTGGGAACCGCTGCCCTAGAGTATTTAGAACAAACCACTATGCGCTGCAATTTTCACAAATGCAGCCTGCTCCAGTTTAAAGCAGGTCAGTTCCACAAGGGCAAGTGGTTGCTTTGCCTGTCTACATGGAGGATTTGTCATAATACCAGTGCATGGGGGATAGAATCAGGGCAAATCGTGACTTTTCAAAGGAAAGGCAGGTAAATCGTGTGCTGTGGTCTCCTCTTTACCTATAGGAGAGCTGTGTTTGGGATTAGAATCTCTACCAGGAGAAATTTTCAAAATTGGGTTTAGGAAAGGATGCACCTGCTACAACTGAATTTACTTCAGTCTTAATTTCTCTTTTGTGGATATGTTCAGTGCTAAGTATTGCAGTATATTCAATCTTTCCAGCTATGGGCAGGGTCCTAAGCTGACAAAACTGTATCTTCCTTCAGCTTCCATAACACATCTGTGCCCATCTGACTTTCAATATGCTAGCTGACCTAACTCACCCATATCCTTTCACCTATAGGGGCAATCATCTTTTAATAAACGGGGAGGAGGAGATTGTTTTTGAGCTTGTTTATACATGAAAATTAACTTATTATGAAATCTGGTGTGAATTTAAAGCATCTTTTCCTTGCAAACCTTTGCGGGCACTCTTATTCAAGAAAAAGAGTATCTTAAATTCTGACTTTGTTAAATAGCACCAGAATGAGAGGGTTCACACAGAGAGTTAATCTGGAATAATTATTCCAGATTATAATCTGATTGTTAAGAGTGGTATGTGCATGTGGGCCTGTCTATCCATCTGTAGGGGGATAGCAACAATACAGAGAACAATTTGGAGGGACAAGTCAGCAGCTAGAGCTTCGCTGGCATTAATGGGATCTTGGACAAATTTTGTCAATGCTTCTTAGAAATAGTCTTGTTAATTATCTCCACACCCACAAAGTCCTAGGCCAGACCATCCCTGCAACATGGGCCTATTTCTTTATAAACGAGCCCAATTTATTTTGAATAGCTCTCTCTCTAGTCACAAAGCTTCTCATGGACTCTGCTGACCTAGGCTAGCATCCTGTGGGTGGTCAGAGAGAGTAGTTCAGAGTCACAAACCTGAATTGATTAGAATACCAGACAGCTGAAACGAGACAGAGTTTCTACATATATCATCCACAAGGTCTGGCGCATAAGGAGAGAAACACAGAGTACCTAGGAAATCTTTACAGCAGGACAGGTGATCACATGGACCGTATTTATCTGGGCTGCGATTAATGTGTAATTTGTACATCACAGCTTGCCTTGGTCACATGACAGCTTTTTCTCTTAGTGATAAGCAGACAAAAGTCCATCCAAAGGGTTATCGGTCATTAACTACATAATTACACAGATTTTTTTGAAGAGCCAGTCAGAGAAAGATGTGTTAGTAAACCACAACACTCACTAGGATAGCTCTTTGGCAGGAGCTGTTGAACAGTGAAATTGCCTCCCCCTGGACCTGCTCCCCAGAGTGAACCTTATTTCCCATGTATTACATTTTCCCTTGTTGTGCATTTTATAATGGTCAGGCACAGAAAAGAAAAAAAAAAAGAAGAGTTCCATCCCACCGACTAGTAATATCCCAAAGACCCATCTGGCTACACAGTCAGTTGGCCCTGAATTCTGCCAGAAAGTGCTCTGGTTTGCATGGCAGGCTGGGGCAACAGATTGGAAATTCAGCATCAAATAATACTTAAAAACTTGAGTTTTTCAATGAATTAAATGGAAAGTAATGAACCCAGTCCATACAGCAACCTACTGTTTCTGTAATTCCTTCAAGATATGTAACTTCCTCCAAAGTGTGAAAATATTTTTGTACATCATTGCACTGTAGAGGTCATCAGGGCAGAAAGCTGGAAGATCTGGCAATTAGATAGGTAGTGGGCGGAGATCTTTGGTACCTGAGAATACAGGTTAAGATTGTGGTATAAGCACATTATCTAGACATTTGTGCTCTAATGACCAGCAGCAAAAGATTTAAAACCCCTTTCCAAACCCACAAAGCCTTCTCTGTGCTAGCACAGCCCAGTTTTGTAGGTGTGCATCCAAAGGAGTTTTTCCACAGGTGTAATATTACTACCTGAGGGTATGTCTACACTACCACCCTAGTTCGAACTAGGGTGGTAGTGTAGACATACCCTTAGGGACATTAGCCCACTTCTGTTAATATACCTGCATCTACACTGAAGGCTTTGGCAGCATAGCTATGTCAGCGGGGGTGTGTGGATTTTCACACCTCTGACCAACATAGCTAAGCTAGTATAAGTTTTAAGTATAGCTCAGGATAGAAGGGACTCAAAATATTTAGTACACCCACATTTTTTCCTTAGCATCTTTTTCTTCTCTCCTCCATTACAGCAGAAACATCTGCAATAGCAATGCCTACCTTTAGTTCTCTGCTCCTGAAGTCTGAGTATGAAGAACACTATCAGAGCCAAAGGACTTTCGGCCCCTTCTGTCTCAGATATTTGAATTTCATATGTGGGACTGTCAGCACTTAAAGGGGACCAATGAAGTCCTTGGTTTCACTTCAGATTAATTCTGTTTAGCCAAAAACACTAAAAGGGTCACTTTGCTCAAAACAAGCAAGCAAGCTATCTAGCTTGCTTTCTCTTGACCTCCTCTAAGAATCCAATTTTAGCCACACCTCAATTTTCTTTACTCAGCACTGGAATAGGCTCTGATTACAGTTTTCCCATTTTATTTTCTTTATCATTTTGCCTTCAGTCTCGTCCTTAACAACATCAGAGTTGGAGGACAAAAGCATTTTCTTCTTTAACTTTGTTAAAAGCACTTTGGCTCAAATGACATGCCTCCTTTCACCTAGTCCTGTTTTGACATACCCCTTTTCCATTCTGCTTGGCAGAAATGACCTTTGCTCCCCAGCCTCGAGAATGCAAAGTAACCAAACAAGAAGGGGAGAGTTATGGATTCTACCTGCGCATTGAAAAAAACAAATTGGGTCATCTCATCCGGAATGTGGAGGACAGCGGTCCAGCTGACAGGGCTGGGATGAAGGATGGAGACAGACTTCTGAGGGTCAATGGGTTGTTTGTGGACAAAGAAGAACATGCACAAGTAAGTCTAATTATATTAGTCCTCAGACAGTCCTCAAAACTTCAGCCCCGCTTTGGATATCTGGTTCAGCAAACCTTTATCCGCCACTTCTCACATAATTCCTGCTACAAAAGCTAAGAGCTGAATAACTGAGCATACAGGATTATTTTTCTCTTTCAGGCATCAACAGACCTCAAGTTGCTCCAAAGGAGCTTGAAAAGATCTTTGATGAAATGCCCCAGTGGGCAGGGAAAGATGCAGAACTCCCATGTGCTGTGCTTCAGTGATAGGGGAGATTTTATATAGGCCATCTGGGTGCTTTTCTGCCTTTACCACCTCCAGGCTCATTCTATCCATTGCAGGTAGTGGAGATGATCAAAAAGAGTGGGAATTCTGTAACCGTCCTCATTCTGGATGAGACAGCCTATGAAAAGGCAGCGAAAGAAGGGGTGAACTTTGAAGAGCTGGGTCAGAAGACAACTCAGCAGCAAAAGAAAGAGCCTCCAGTCATGAATGGAGTAACAGTTCCAGTTCCACAGCCTCGGCTCTGCTACCTGGTGAAGGAGGGAAACAGTTATAACTTCTCCTTGAAAACCACAGTTGGTGAGAACAATGGGCGTAGGCGGTAGGCAAGTGCCAAAACATACAACTTATAATTTCCTGACTGCATATTTTCTCTGGTTAGGTGGGGGGATAGGAATTGATTCATCATCCTGTCCTATTTTCTGCCAGCTGTTGAAGCAGACTTGCTAAAACCATTTGCACCAGGCTCTCAGCTGCCAAAAGCACCCAACAAATGATGGCTTCAAGTCCAATGCACCTTCTTTGAATTACCTCAGGGTTCTGGAGCTTATTTAAAGGCAACCATCTGAGAGGGGCTGAACCATAGTATCACAGTGTACAAAAGGAAAAAAGCTTCTTCCAATCTATGTGTATTCACATGAGAAGCAAGACATTTAGGATTTTTTTTTCTTTTGAACCCTCTTTCCACAATGCAAGTCAAAAGAATGGGCAGGATTCTGTAGACCTGTACTGAATTTCTCCCATGAAGCTAATACAATGTAAATAACACCGTGCCTAGAATAACTCAGGGACCACATGTGGAAGTCTTTCAAACACAAGAAACTCTGAAATGTGGATAAGTCACATTGAATGACAAAAGTGGGCCTTAATCAATTCTAGCTTTAGAAAATAATTCAATTCTCCATAATACTAAGGGTCAAGCAATAATCAGAAGAGAGGTGCACAATAGTTTGGGTCACAGATGAAGTTCCCTCTCCTCTCTAGAGGTTATCCCTCCAGGGCCAGAATGAGGCAACACAGGTGTGGCTGGGTTGAGAAAACTTGTCATTGTAACTGTTCTGTGGATAAACAGAGCCCCTTGGTCTCCAAGGCAGTCATTGCAGAACCTTACATCAGCATGAAATTTGCTTGGCAATCTGTGCAGGCATGTTCCAGTGACTTGCTCTGTGCAGTAAGTTCTCTTGCCTCTTCTAGGTCAGAAGGGCATCTTCATAATAGGTATGTCTCCACAAGGAGTGGCTGCGAAAGCAGGAGTCCAACATAATGACCGCCTGATCGAAGTGAACGGGAAGAATGTGGAAAATGACACACATGAGGAAGTGGTTGAAAAGGTATGTTAGAAGAACTCCTCTTCTTCCTTCATTTAAGCCATTTCCTCAGCCTGAGGCTACTAGTCAGTAATGTCATTCAGAGAGCAAGTGAAGTCAATACAGTACGTTATCTGCAGTATTGCAGTCTTAATGTAGGCGACTACTTTGGCTTTGTTTCTTGGGTGGGTCAGGGACAGAGTACAAGGCTGCGGAAAAAGTTGGTTGTTCTTGACAAGTCTGGCATCAGACATTATAAGCTTGCTTTGGAAGAACACTGCCCTTGAGGCAGGCCTGAGTGACATAAGCACCATAACTGTACTGTTGCCATAAATCTGAAAAAAAAATGGTGGCACAGGCCTAGGAATTCTGAAAATCTTTCCGGTGCTTAGGAAGATGAGTTAGTCAGCATGTCTGGGGTGGAGCCCAGTAAAAAAGGAATCTTTCTGATATTCAGATGGTAAGATTGGAAAGCAAAGCAGATTGTACTCCATGAGTTAGATGAAGGGGGAGGAGGGTTCATGTGAAGATCTGGATAATTGGGGGAAAAAGGAGGATGGGATTCTCTCCTACTAAGAAATGCAAAACTAATTTCAACAGTGCCATTTACAGACTCAGTCAGAGCCAAACAACGTAACCTAGCGATCAGTAAAAACAAAGTGTATAGCAAACCTTGCATGAAATGTCCTGTTGTCACAATATACAACTGGTATATTCTTATTTGTGGTGAAGGTGGTTTAAAGATCTATTCTGTGTTAGGAAAAATAATGAACATCATTTGAAAAATCAAACTCTACATTGATCCACTGAGAGAAGTGTCAGAGGTAAGGATAGAAAGAAAAGAACATGTGATTTTTCCATTAGTCTCTTTTGGAAAAAAAAAAATCACATATGCGGATGCTTTAAGCATTCAAACACCAGTATGCCTATGAAGCAACTTGAGCTAAAAAGGCTTTTAGAATATCTAAACTAAAAATCCTACAGCATTTCATTGTAACAGTGCTTCTCAAATTATGGGGCAGGCCTGAGGATGCGTCAGGGGAGATGTGAGCTGTGTGTTTTGTTTTGTTTACAAGTGCTCTGGCTATCAGCCCTGGATGTATGGGGCTCATGTAGAAGCCAATGAACTAGCAGAAACAGGGACAACCAGAGCCTCATCTCCCAGGCTTGACTATCCTCTCCCTGCCCCCTCAACCCTCCAAATCCCACAAGGCTCAGAGTCTCCTCCTCATCCTCCCAATCCCACACCTGGAGGTGGCAGGGCTCCTGTTGTCAGTGCAAAAATAAGGATGGCAAATAGGGCACTAAGTCTACTATGAAAAGTGATATTGCTGAATATTTCTTTTCACATCACCGCCCTTACTTTTGTGCTGCTTCTGGCACAGTGCTGTCTTCAGAGCGGGGCACTCAGTCACCAGCCGCTGCTATCCATGTTGCTATCAGAGCTAGGTGGCAGTATATGTACTTGAGGGGCAGGACAAACTACTACAAGAGAAGCCCAATTAAATAAGTTTTAGAACCACTGCGCCATACTGATCCAAATCACTATACTAACTACAAAAAACTGTAGTGCTTGTGTTGTGTGCTGTTATTGCAACACTTTTTAGAAGGAGAGGAAACATAGAATCATAGAATACTAGGTCTGGAAGGGACCTTGAGAGGTCATCGAGTCCAGTCCCCTGCCCTCATGGCAGGACCAAACATACAAATTTTGAAGATGGAGGTAGAGAAGCAGAGGTACAATGGGGATAGACAAAAAACACATGCAATGGTGATGGCAGTGTAGGGTGATGGAAGTAGTTCCAGAGCAGTTAGAGATGAATGTTACAGCAACATGTGGTAGGTTTAGTGGAGTCAACAGTCATATAGGCATGTATTAGAACACCACCCTGCTGTCTAGTCTTTGTAGACCCTACAGCCCATTTATCTACAGCCCAGCATTGTACATTAAAGAACATGCCAACATAAAGCTCTCCACAGCCCCCACACTCCATTCAAAGGCCTTTGTGTGTGTGCACCATTAACAGGTGAAGAAGTCTGGAAGCCACATTGTGTTTCTGCTGTCAGATAATGAAACTGATGAGTATTACAGCAACCACCAGATGATGATGAAGAGAGAGACAGCCAGCCTGAAACTGCTTCCCCACAAACCTCGAATAGTGGAGCTCAAAAAAGGAGATGATGGTTATGGGTTTTATCTGAGGATGGAACAAAATGGTAACGGTGAGAGCTCAGCCATCAGCCATCCTCCTGTATGCTCTGTAGTACTCTTTTATGGGGCCCTGAAGGACTCCTGCACTCCAGTGCCCAGTATCCATCTTGGACAGATCATTTTCTACCCTGCTACCAACCCAATTCCCTTACCCCACCACACACCTCATCACACCATCCCTCAAAGCACACCTTGTCACAGCCAAACAACCCCAATCTATAGCCTATGTTATTCAGGAGACCTAACTAGATATTCACAAATGGCCCCTCCTGGCATTGGAATATATGAATCTCCATCAAACTTTCCAATCTGAGGTGGAACTTGTGATGTTTGTGGCCCTCCCCACCTGCTACAATCTAGCTCCCGTAATTACCACTACGAGGCAGTCTCCAACCCCTTCATTTTTGAGGGTCAGCAACATGTCCAGAGTAACGTCTGGTGGTTTTTTACAAAAGAACTCTACTTTATCTGAATAACTTGAAAAGGATCCTCAGATGCTCTCTCACAACTGGGTTCACCAAAACCACAAAGTTCTCAAGTTTAAGTAGACCACATTTTTGCCTCCAAGTAAATCACAACTTTAATTTGGGGAAACATTTTCAAGTCACTTAGAAGGAGATCTAGATTCTACACTAGAGTTAATATAGAATGAGCTAAAAATCAGGAATCTTATTTCAACCTGAAGTCAGAGAGTGAGTTTCTACTGTCCTACATGTCTTTCATTATCTTAACCAAACTTCACCCATGAAATATCTGCTTTTCTCTATTAAAACTAGATCTGTTTTTTTTCTGTTTGTTTTTTTGAGGTCAGGTCATTTAATTAAGGACATTGATTCTGGCAGCCCAGCAGCCAAGGCAGGTCTAAAGGACAATGATATCCTGGTGGCTGTAAATGGGGAGTCAGTGGAGGCACTGGATCACGACACTGCAGTGGAGAGGATTAAGAGGTGTGGGGAAAAGACCACATTGCTGGTAGTGGATAAGCAGACAGACACCATGTATAAATTGGTAAGGAAATGCAGACTGGGGTCAAGCTTGTATAGCTCCTCACTAGGTTAAGGAATGAACAAGCAAGGAAAAGATGGGTCCATTTTGAAAGAAGCACCATTACAGAGACTTTCTAATAGCTCTTATTCAACTACTCTCTACAATGAACATTTGAGATGGGCTCATTTCGGTCTTACTCAGGGGAGACTTCTACAATAGGTCACTAAACTTCCCAATTTACTCTTGCCCTAGACCAGGGGTGGGCAAAACCCTCCCCGCAGGCCAGATCCAGCCTAACCAGGGCTTTGATATGGCCCCGCGAGGCAGTTCCAGGCCCTGCCCCATAGTGCAGGGGTCGGCAATCTAGGGCACGCATGCTGAGGGAGCTCAGCCCCGCCCCTCCTCCCCGGCACAGCCATTGGAGAGCACTCCCTCCTCCTTGAAGCAGATTAGGCTGCAGTGGGACAAGGCAGCACTGGGGCTGAGACTCCTCAGCAGGGACCGGAGGCACTGCAGCCATGCAGTCCAGAGCTCGCCATGGAGGCGCCACTGCTCCAGCCACGTAGTACCTCTAGCCTCAAGGGCCAGTTCTGGATTACATGGCAGCAGTGCCGGCCCCGGACTGCAGGGTTGCAACAGCGGTACCTCCAGGGTTGGCTCTGGACTGTGTGAGTATGCAGCAGCGGCGCCTCCAGCCTCCGAGACCAGCCCCAGACTGCATGGTTGTGGCAATGGTGCCTCCGGGGCTGGCCCTGGACTGTGGGGCCAGCTCCCTTCACCTGGCCAAACACCCTATTCCCAATCAGCTTCTGCACCCAACCTCCCTCCCAGATCCTGTATCCTATTCCTATCCTACTTGTGGCAGCCCTGTCCCACATACTCTACCCCTCACATTTTTGTTCCTACCCCAGAGCCTAAAGAAGTCCATAAAATCCACTAATTCTGGAACACCAGAAAAGTAAATCTGGTCTATGGGAAGCCCTGAACCTCAGTCCCTACCTTCCCTTCCCCTCAACCTGGGGAGGAGTGAGGTGTCTCAACTGGGACTATATCAGTGAGTGTTGGGGGGTTTTGAAGGAGGTTTTTTTGCTTTTCAGTTTATACATGATACCCAACTGATTTTTCTGTGGGCCAGTGACACCCCCCCCCCCCCAAAAAAAGGGGTTCCCCACCCCTGACATAAATAAAGAAAAAGTTGAAAGTTTGTGTTGGACATAATATTTTACTTTATTTGATAACCTAACATGAGAAAGTTAAAACGCTTAATCAGTTTCATAAGTTAAATTAAACCATTTTCACTAGCTGCAGCTGGTTCAGAAAATAAAGTCACTGTACCCAGCCTGCCCTTGCCTTCCCTCCCCTGGCACACAGATCCATGAATACGTTAAATCTCATTAGGCCACTTCTGAAAGGCTGCCGACCCCTGCACTGAAAGGTAAGATCTGCATCTTTATTTATTTATTAATGAAGCTGCTGTAAGTAGGACTATTATTGACTTTTAAAAGTATCACAGGCACTCAGACCCGTACATAGAGGCGAATAAGTCAAATCTCAGCACTCCACCTCTGAAAGGTTGCTGACCCCTGCCCTAGTGCATTGCCTAGGAGCCGGAGATATGCGAGCCCTTTCAACCGCTTCTATTTAAAGGGCTCGCACTGCTTGCTGGGTGGCTGCGTTGCCTGGCAGGTGCAAGCCTTTTGAACAGAAGCAATTGCAAGGGCTCGCAGCTCTCAGTCCCACTGTCCCGTTGCCTGGGAGGCATGAGCCCTTTCAACTGCTTCTATTCAAAGGGTTTGTGCCTGCTGGGCGGCTGCCAGGTAACAGGTTAGCAGCATGGCCAGGAGCTGCCAGCCATGTTATGTGAATTCTAAGCCTCCGCCCCAGACAACTCTGGGAGGAGGCTAGCCCCCAGTACCTCTCTCCAGGTCCCTTCCATTGGCCAGAAGTGAAGGGGCAGGGACCCCAGGTCAATCAAAGCTCCCAGCAGGGTAGTTCTCCTGTGGCCACTTCCAAAATTTGTGAAGTGCCCTTCCTTCCAAAATTATTGCCCACTCCTGCCCTACACCATCCTATATACTGTTGAAACACCCGATTTGAGGAGGTCGAGAGCAACAAGTTAATCAAATGCAACTATGAGGCAGTTTCTGTATTAGACAAGAGATCCCTGCTCACGTTTGTGCCCATATTGCAGCTTTGTATCTCGTTTACTGGATAGGTTTTAATAAGTAGAATCCATAGGGTCGGATCTATACTATTGTAAAGATTTCAAACATAAAATGTTTAGACAGATATCTGTGAGAGTTATTACATTAATATGGACTTTCCTTTGCTTTGGTCTTTCAGGCTCAAGTTTCCCCATGTTTGTACCTCCGGGAAATACAAAAATCCTCTCCAGTTGAAACAGAGGAAGAGCCGATATCACATGTTGATCATGAGGTCAACCACAAGCCCAAAATCTTCAGGCTGGTGAAGGGTTCTAGTGGATTCGGCTTCCGTTTAAATAGAAACGAGAATATGCCCACACAGTTCAAAGAGGTACTAACCTAGGGCTTCTAGATTGGGAGAAGCGGGAGACACTAGAAGGGAGAGTATGGGCTACAATTAGACATCCATTTCCTTCATTCTGTGCTGTGACTGAACTTGGAACAAGTCATTCTAAACTATATGTAACAAAAAGGCAAGGTTTGTCCTATGTGCTCTTGGAGGATAAAGAGTTTTAGTCCATGAACTCAGGATAAAGTCATATCCCTAGAGATGAAAGGGTGATCTTGTGATCAAGGTACAGGAGCAAGAGTGAGACGACCTGGGGTATACTCCTAGCTCTGCAAGATTTCTGGGGTAAAATGCATAACTTTTGTCTCTCTTTCTCTTCTTCGTTAATACTTATCTAACCCACAGCGGTGCAATATTAAATTAATGGTTGTAAAGGACCTGAGTCTGACAAGATACTATAAAAATGTAAAATACAGCAAGCCATTCTCTCATTCCCTAAGCACCACAGTTAGCACGAGTCCTAAGCCTCTTCCTCACAAAGTCAAAACCCCTTATAGGACTATTAATAAAATATATATTGGAATGTGTTACGGAACAGACATTTCTCCAGATAAGTTTTGCTCAAATTATTTTTTTCTAGTCTGTACTCTACCCCCTGTATTAGGGAAAAAAACCACATAACATTCATTTTCTATTTATTATACTTGAGCATTAATGCACCTTTAATGGTACTGTGCTGGTATCACAGCTTGAGAGCCTGTTATTTACAGATACAGAAAGGTGGGCCAGCTGACACAGCAGGACTGAAAGAAGAGGACATTCTGGTAGAAGTGAACGGCGTGAACATGTTGAATGAACCCTATGACAAGGTTGTAGCAAAAATCAAAGACAGCAGTGACAGCCTGACTCTACTGGTGTGCAGCAAAGCAACTTATGAATACTTTAAGTCTCAGAATATTCCAATTACTGCCCCTCTGGCAGATCAGCTCTGTGACACTACTGATCCTCCTGCTTATACAGAGGACCCACCAACAGAGCCAGAGAACACCTCCTCAGAACCAAGAGACAGGGTAGGTAATCTTGAGGTAACCAAATCTTGGGGAGCAGGGGGTGGGGAAAAGAACCTGAATAAGACATTACATTTGCTTGAGGTAGGAACTATGAATTCTATTTGTATTCTGGATTTACAAAATCCTGATCTACAATAAATAGTATGCAATGGCACAAGCCTGGTTACAGAGGATAGAACTGCCTCCTTTCCTTAAGCCACACCAGACTATCTACTGGATCCAGGGAGGAGAAGAGAAAGAATGTGTGTTTGTGTGCACGTGCCAATGTTAGAGAGAACATAAAAGGCAAGTGGAGATACTATGCTGTTGCAAGTAGGTCTACCAATATAGCATTCGTTAATGTCACAGCAAAGTAGATAAAACTCTGAATCCACACAGGAGTCAGAGCAGTTGAATAGAGGTTTCATTTTTTTTTTACAATAGCAAATGTCAAACTTGTTACTGGCACCAATATTTTTTTTGGGACCTTCGTTGGTCACAGTGTGTCACAGTGTACCCATCTCATGCCCACCAGAGTCTGCATCATTTTAGAATGTTTCCCATGGTTTTCCCATGGTCATAGTTGTATTTAAATCCTGTTTGTGGCCTGTGCTGCCTGTGGTTGAACAAAAGATTCCTGATTATGTCATTCTCATTTACAGGACAATGTAGAACTTTAAAGACTAACAAGATGGTTTATTAGATGATGAGCTTTCGTGGGCCAGACCCACTTCCTCAGATCTGAGGAAGTGGGTCTGGCCCACGAAAGCTCATCATCTAATAAACCATCTTGTTAGTCTTTAAAGTTCTACATTGTCCTGTAAATGAGAATGACATAATCAGGAATCTTTTGTTCAACCACAGGCAGCACAGGCCACAAACAGGATTTAAATACAACTATGACCATGGGAAAACCATGGGAAACATTCTAAAATGATGCAGACTCTGGTGGGCATGAGATGGGTACACTGTGACACACTGTGACCAACGAAGGTCCCAAAAAAAATATTGGTGCCAGTAACAAGTTTGACATTTGCTATTGTAAAAAAAAAATGAAACCTCTATTCAACTGCTCTGACTCCTGTGTGGATTCAGAGTTTTATCTACTTTGCTGTGAAAAATAAACAAGTTTTTACTCCTGTTCATTCAGAAGAGACACCACAGCTAGGGAGGAACAAACTGGATTCTATTCCTCCACATGTATTATCCCCAGAATTGTTAACTAAGGCTTTGTCTACAGTAAATAGAAGATTGCCACTACTGTGACCGATCTTCCGGAGTTCGATTTAGCAAGTCTAGTTAAGACTCACTAAATCAAACTCAGAGCACACCCCCACTGGCATCCAGTACTCCTGATTTTGCGACAAGTAAGGGAAGCCAACAGGAGCGTATTCTACATACCTGGAGTTGCATACCTTAAGCCAAGCTGCCTGGTCTAGTGTAGACATGTCTTAAGTTCCAACTGCAGATTCTTTCAATGATGTCTTACACCCCAGGCTGGATTTGCAGAGCTATAGTTAAACCCTTCTTTTTATCTGTGACCTTGGTTGATTTGATAGGGAAGTTGAACAAGCACATGGAACTCCCACTAGGCAATTTAGTTGCTTTGTAAAGTGCACTTAGAAGAATAATTCACTAACTCCCCATGCAAAGGCAAATACCTAATGGGCATAGATTTGGAAGAGACTGATAGAGATTCCTCATGCCACTGTAAACTATCAGACATGTTAGCTGCAACCTTAAAATAATAAATTTCTACTTATTGCTTTTCCACAGGCTAGCTCCTCCTCCTCCTCCTCCTCCTCTTCCTCCTCCCTCTCAGTAGCTTCAGCAGAAGAGGATGAAAACACCCAGTTATGAGACAGACTACAACAGAAGCTAATCAAAGAGACATCTTCCAAAGCTTAAAAAAAGAAGTTCGCTTCCTCTGAGCGGTCTTTGTTCTTTCACTTCTCAGAACCACACTATGTTATGGAACTTCACACTTGTGAGGGCTGGAACAGCAAGTTCCTTCTACTTAATTTTTCCTGAAAAGGAACACCCCACCACCACTCCCACTTACCTAATGGGAGTTTATTGGCCTTCTGCCTGGAGAAGCGGACAGTTCTTTACTACTTATATTGCTCTGTAAAAGCTTAAATGACTAATAAGGAATTTCTGCCACCTTATGGGGGGAGGAAATGTGATTCACAAATCAATAAGTATTGTGGCCTTTTAAAAACAAGGAAGATCCTAAATATAAAAACTGATTTATCATATTCCCCACAAAAGACTTTTTTCCTCTAATCAAACCCCATCAGCTAAATCATTGTGAACAACACTCCTTCCACTTGTTAAAAAGCTGTAGATATTGTCTCTTCCAAACAACCAGTTAACTGTTCGCTAGCCAGAAGGTACAAGCATCATTCCCTCCACGCCTCTCTTGTAGCTCAGATTGTACAGTATCTGTAATTTATATGTAGTCTGTTTGACTACACGCCAACATCTTGTCTCTAATCAATGAAATATGAACCAGCTCTGTAGTACCAACAGTATATGCTGTACCTCCTTGCTGTAAACTTGAGACAAAGCATAAATAAATCAGAGTGGCTATTTCTCTTTCCTGGGTCTTACACTCCTGCTCTGATGTACACTCCACAAACAACTTTGAAATGAGCAAAATCTAGGAGTGGTTTTCAGGAAGCTATACGTTTATTTGCATAGGTGAAATTTTCCATAGTGACTTGCATTAAGGAGCATGAACTGATGTAGCCTATATAGGTTGGTGGGGAACCCAAAATTTCGAGTGTATAATGTAAACTTGTTATAGCTGCCATCTTTGACTTCACATTAAACTCTAAGTGATAGTAACACAAGGCTGGACTCTAATTCATTATGCATTAAATGGTAACAAAGGACTGACTTATACTAATCACACAGACCTCGCCTGAATCCCAAAGCATTTCCCCTTTTGCCAACAGTGACACATTCACACACTTGCTCATCCACATTAAAGTCTCTGGGACTGACACAAACAATTGTGATGCTAGTGTGAGGTATTACAGAAGCTGATTTAATTAAACAGATTCAGACATTCAGATCCAGGATCAACATCCTCCAATGCTGGATTAAGACTGATTTGTTTTTAAACTAAAATCATGTTTCCTCGGTGCCTTCTATGCAGAATTCTTCTACCCGTGATTTTAAGAGGCCTCTCCTCGGACCATCCTTTGCAGTTTTTTCAATATCAGAAGATACCACTGTCCCATGGAATGTCCTATTCCACGGCCCTCAGTTGTCTTCCACTATTCTCCCACTTCTGCTGTTTCTTCAGCTCATGGCCTCCTCCTCTCAGGATGAACCATATAGCTTCTAAGAGCAACTGTGAAAGTCAGAACAGACTGATATATTATCAGAACACAGCTGCCCTTCCACTCTCAAAATCCTGTCACCCCTGATGAGTTGCAGTAGTCTGCCAGAAGTGATTACAGAGCAGTAGGCAGAACTGGAATAGATTCAGAGTGCCATGTGCTTCTCTGGGGCCTGTTTGTGCGCCAAGTAGAGGAAAAGGATGCTGGAGAGAGCGCTAACCAGGAATATCACATCAAACCAACGATGATAGAAGTTGAACTGCAGCTCCCCCAAGACTTCTGTAATGATAGTGCGATACTCTGGGGGCATACTCATCCGGATTAGGAGCACTGAAGAGACGAAGTACATCCCCTGGAGATAAGATACAGGAAGTACATCAGTTTTCCAATCCATGGGTGGCTATACTGTTGAGATGGGACAATATGACAAAAGCTCACTACCTGCTCTGGATACTCACCATGATCTGTGCCAGCAACAGAACAATAACATTGGAGGACTTGCTGCTGGAGATGGCATAAAAGAACTGTAACAGAGGAGGAAAAAGTACTGAAAATTGAATTGATCACCAGACAACTTTGTGCTCCCATCTATAGGAGCATATAACTAAAACATGCTCTAATCATTCCCCTTTAGTCCTAGAAACCAGCACTGAAGAAGAAAAAAAGACATGCTTCCTAGATGTGTATGTACATCACACTTTTCAAACGGTACACACCTGGACCTTGACCCTAGTAGAGCTACAAGTTAAGCATCTTTACATGGGTCCCACTAACCCAGCTATTAATACTGCATGGCCAGCCAGTGTGGAGAATCAAGTTTAAAAAAAATTCTAACCAACATACCACTAAGCATACCACTAAATTTACAGGTCAGCATCAGGGTCACCCCGTTATGTGTTGTAACAATTAGCCCCATGGTTATATAAAAGAATTAATCCTCTACCTGGCTCCCCAGAAAAAGGCAGCTGTTTAAATGAGGCAATGCAAGAACTCTTAATCACCATTTAATACCCAATACTAAGAAACCAAGGCTGCCATATCATTGTTAAGCACTGTTACACTTCCTCTCTTAAAATTTCCTAATCTTTCTACTACTAATGGTAAAAAAAATGGAATGGTTCATATAAACTGCCCACAGGCAGCAACCAGGGATTTAATCACTAGATATGTTCTGAACAGTTACAAAGCCTGCAAATTAAAATGTATAGGTAGCCACTTTGGGGGAGGGGCGGGGAAGAGGAATCTAGTGCAGAGTCAGTCTCACAGATTATACTAAGAGTTTTAAAATATTTATAATACTATTTAGAACCCCAACATCCACACTATCCCTACTCAACTTTGACTGGAGGCACTTACAGACTATGCATTGCATATAGTAACTGAAATTGATGAAAGAATTCTCAAGAGGACCAGAAAAAGTAAACCAGAAAAAGTTATCCTCCTCTAATTCTGCCACAGGTAACTTTTTCCTCCATCCCACTCCTTGCAAGAATTTCTATTCCAGTTCTCAATGCCCTATTTGTCCACTAACTGAATATAAATCAAAGATCCTACATTTTGTACTGAAGTTTTATACCACTGGTTTTCAACCTGGGGTCCAAAAACTGTGTTTCAGGTTTCCAAAGTGGGCCGAACTTCCATTCAAGATTTTTAGGGATCCACAAATGAAAAAAGGTTGAAAATTTCTTGTTTATATAATGCGCTCTTGACTGTGTTAGAAATAGATACAAGCTCTCCTGGACTACTGTTGCATAAAGAGGTCCCTAGCCAGCCATACCTTTGTGAGTGTAATCAATAAGCCCCTGATGGAGGTTACGATGATTATTCCAACGAGGATAAAGGAAATGTGCTGAGACCAGAATTTTACCTGCACCAATAGAAAAAGGAAACTGTTAAATCCCTGGAGCCATGCAGATGAAGAATGTGTGGGGATATGCACTTAACAGGATCTCTGAATTCACATACCATGCAGGTATTCACCACAGGGAAACTTACAAACCAGTATATATTCTCCAGGAAGGAGACCTACATGGGTACTTTCATGTGCAAGTACTTACTCTACACACATGAGAGATGAATAGATCTAGCTTTTATGGACTTTAGGGAAGGAAAAGACAGTTACCTGTTCTCGTGACTGGTGTTCTTTGAGATGTGTTGTTCACATCCATTCCAATTCAGGTGTACACATGCCGTGTGCACAAACATCGGAAACTTTTTCCCTAGCAGCTCCTGTAGGGTCGGTTGTGGAGACCCCTAGAGTGGCGCCACTATATCAGCATATACATAATACTGCCGACCATACCCTCCCTCAGTTCCTTCTTGCTGGCTACTCCGACAGAGGGGAAGAAGGATGGGTATTTGAATGGACATGAACAACACATCTCAAAGAACACCAGTTGTGAGAACAAGTAACTGTCTTTTCTTCAAGTGCTTGTTCACACTGATTCCAATTCAGGTGACTCCCAAGTTAACTACCCTATGGAGGTGGGGTCAGAGTTCAGAGACACTGACTGAAGGACTGCCCTGCCAACTGCTGCATCCTCCCTGGAGGATTTACCAATTTTGTAATGGACCATGAATGTGTGAATCGAAGACCAGGTAGCTACTCTGCAGATTTCCTGCAAGGGGACATGTGCTACAAAAGCCGCAGTTGACGCTTGGGTCCTGGTTGAATGGCCTGTGACTAGAGGGGGAGGAACCCCAGCTAGGTCATAGCAAGTGCGTATGCAACGCACCATCCAGGACGAGATGCACTGAGTGAAGCCTGGATCTCCCCTCATCCGTTCTGCTATAGCCATGAACAGCTATGTGGATTTCCTACATGGCCAAGTACGGTCAATGTAGAAGGCTAAAGCCCTCCTTACATCCAGTGTATGCAATACCCTCTGCCTATTACTACTGTGAGGCTTAGGGCAAAAGACTGGGAGGAAGACCTCTTGCAACAGATGGAAATGGGAGATCACTTTCAGCAGAAAAGCTGGGTGCAGCCTAAGCTGCACTTTGTCTTTGTGGAAGACCGTGTATGATGGGTTTGAGGATAGGGCCCTAAACTCAGACACTTGTCTTGCTGATGTGACTGCTACCAGGAAAGCTACCTTCATAGACAGTTGCAGCAAAGAACATTGAGCCATCAACTCAAAGGGTGGACGCAAAAGTTTATTGAACGCTAGATTCAAGTCCCAAACAGGTACAGGTGGATGACAATATGGATACAACCTGTCCAACACCTTTCTGAATCAGGTCACTGTGGGATGGCCAAACAGGGAGTATTGGGAACGACCAGAGTGGAAAATGGACAACACCGCCAAGTGCACCTTGACTGAAGAGGGTGCCAACCCCTAATATCACATGTACAGCAAGTACTCCAAACACCTCTGGGATGGGCGCCTGCCCTGGGGACACATCCCACTCCCCACAACATTTAGAAAACCTTTTCCATTTGGCTAAATACACCACTGGTAGAGAGCTTTCTGCTGCTCAATAAGACCTCCTGTACCTGGGCTGAGCACTGAAGCTCCAATGGATTGAACTATCCAGCTTCCACAGTTAGATGGAGGGAGCACAGATCTGGGTGCCTGAGGGACCCCCGATGCTGCATCAGGTCAGGGTACAGGGGAAGGGTTATTGGGATTTCCACCGACAGGATGAGCAAGGTGGAAAACCAATGCTGACATGGCCATGCAAGTGCCAACATGTTTAGACGGGCCCCATCGCTTTGAGCTTCCCAATCTATCAGGGAGACTGGGGGAAAAGCATACAGGAAAGGTGCCTCCCCTAGTGGAGCGCAAACACATCTTCTGTGGAACCCTGATAGTGATTCTGGAATGAACAAAAGGCTAGGCATTTCTTGTTTTCTGGGGTGGCAAACAGGTCTAAACGGGGAGTCCACCACCTTCAGAAGATTGATCTGATCACGTCTTTCCTGACCAACCACTCGTGGATCATAAAGGTCCTGCTGAGGGCATCTGCCAACATGTTCTGTAGACTTGAGAGGTACCGGGCTTCGAGATGGATACTGTGTTTGATACAATAGCGCCATAGCCTCTGTGCCTCTTTGCACAGGCAAGATGACCTCGCCCCCCCCCCCTTGTTTGTTTATATAAAACATCGCAGTTGTATTGTCCGTACACATCGATATGCACTGGCCCTGCATCTGGATTCAGAACACCCAGCATGCCAATCCGACCACTCAGTTCCTTCACATTAATGTGAAGACTCGTATCCATGGGGGACCATAGTCCTTGCGTC